TATAATTAAAGTTAAAATAATTTATTAGAAACTAAAATTTCAAAGGAAATAATAATAAAAAAACGTTTTAAATTACTAAGGAATATTTATAAATAATATTAATTCTAATAGTTATATTTATCTAAAATAATTAACTAATAAATAATATAAGAATAATCTTTAATAGTAAATTAATATTTAACTTATAAAAATATTTAGAACTTATTTTTTAAATATAAATTACGATATTATAATAGTATAGTAATCTACTTAGCTTACTAGAGAGTACTCTCTCCAGTAGTACAAGAGAGAGGGGATGCACGGGTGGTAGCCGAGGAAATTTTCTGCAAAGCCACGACTCCCCACACTTACTACCATCGCTCTAGCCGAAGAGGAAATTTTTCTGTCCACCGAAAATAAAGCCACGTGGGACGGAACTCAAAGTATCTTACCGAACTGCATCCATGTTCGATATTGCTGGCCTGATGTCGTTGCGGACATGGTGCGGCCCCCGACGCCCAAGATGGCGGGCATTCTCGCAATCACGGCCACCACTTCTAAGACTAATGGCTCCAGTAGTTATGCCACCCGAAGCCGTGCATGGGGAAACCAAATAATAAGTGCGCAACCATTCTGTTATACCGTAGTGCCTCTAAATATAAGTAGAGATGTGATCCCGTAAAGTCCAGGGGTGAATACCCATCAACGACACGATTACCTGCTTCACAATGCAGTTTCTCACTCTTTTTCTAGCGTCAGCCTCTCTCGCGGCTGCTTACCAACAGCCTAATACTGTTACCGTCACCAAGTACCTTCCTTTTGAGCAGCATCCGTGTCATGCGTACTTTACGCTTGGGGGGAAAGGCGATCTCTCTACGAAAGCCTGCGGACCTGGTTGCTGTATTGGTGTCCAAGATGTCGACACCAACACTGGCCATGGCGGCAAGAACGTTGGCCCTGACGGTCATCCATTGATCATGGCCTCTCACTCTGACAGCAGGGCCCAGGGAAGCTTTGGTGACTCCGTCGTCACTAAGAACTCTCTCGCCCGTGGCAGCTCCAAGCCCATCACCAGTGGCTCGATCATTACGGTACTCTCGTCCCACGGCGGGCTGATAAAAAAACCACTTGTTGAGACTATAACCGGCGACTGGATCGTTGCAGGAAAAAGCATTGCCACCGCCGCTGTGACTGCGCCTGAGACGCCTCACGAGACCGTCGTCGTCACTACTACTGTCTCTAAGGGTTTAACTTATACTATAACGTTTAGTGGCACACCTATTATTAAGTTAGGCACGTCCGTGGTCATCGATGCTAAGACATACTCGGCCCCTATTGCTATTCCCAGCCCGGGGACTCTAACAACACCTGTGATTATTACCGCAACGAAGGTAATCACGGCCAATAACTCTACTTTCATATCTCACATTCCCACCACCTCTGAGAATGTAATCACTAGCATTGATCACGTGCTCACCATAGTCACGGCTTCTAAGACTTGGGCAACGCCCGTGAAGCCCACCTCGGCTAAAGTAGTTGCGATAAACAATTATACTACTACATCCCCTACTACCATCACGTCTAGGGAGACAGTCACCAGTTCTACCATCACACAGACCCCTATAACGCCGGCGACTACAACCTCGGTCAAGGTTATTACGATAAACAATTCTACTACTACATCCCCTGCTACCATCACATCTAAGGAGACAGTCACCAATTCCACCACTACGCAGAGCTCTATGACGCCGGCGATTATCACCTCGATCAAGGTTTTTACGATAAACAATTCTACTACTACATCTCCTGCTACCATCACGTCTACGGACGCAGTCACCAATTCCACCACTACGCAGACTTCTATAACGCCGGTGATTGTCACCTCTATAGCAGTTATTACAACAAGCAACTCTATCACAGAATCTCTTACCACTACAACGCCTAAAGAGGCCGTCACCAGCGTTCAACCTATATTTACTAACTCTACTACTACGGGAAAACTATCGCGAGCAACTGGCATCTATATGCCAGCTATCATAACAAGCAACTCAAGCACTATTTCGCTTATAACTACTACATCGAAAGAGACTGTCGCTAGCGTCTACGCAATCCTTACTAACTCTACTACTACGTCTGAAGAGACCGCTACTATTCATCCCATCCTCACCAACTCCCCCACCACGTCTACAGAGACCGTCAACGTTCAACCCATCCTCACCAACTCGTCTACTACGTCCAAGGAGACCGTCAGCGTTCAACCCATCCTGATCAACTCTACAATTATGTCTAAGGAGACAATCAGCGTTCAACCCATCCTCATCAACTCCACCACTACGTCTGAAGAGACCATCATTCAACCC